TTTTGAATCTTCCACAGGAAATCTTGAGAGGAAATTTGCATTCCCATGGTCACCAGTTCTCTTGAATTCAATTGTGTAGTTAAATCCTGATAAAAAATGGGAGTAGTTGAATAGTCGCGTAGCTGACATTGACGGTAGGCTCTTGTTGGGATTGAAGATTGACACTAATGGTTTATGGTCCGTGATGAGTGTGAAATGACGTCCGTAGCAATAAGAAAAAAATTTCTTCAACCCCCAGTATATACCTGTGGCTTCTTTATCGATTTGGCTGTAATGTTTTTCAGCATTGGTCAATGATCTTGAAGCAAAAGCTATAGGCTTTTCACTTCCATCTGGGAAACGATGTGATATCACTGCTCCAAGTCCCACTGGTGAAGCGTCAGTTGCAAGGATCAATGGCAGGTCTGGGTTAAAGTGACAAAGAACTGTGTCACTTGTTATTCTTTTCTTGATGTTTTGGAAACTTTCTTCACACTTACTGTCCCATATGAATGACTGCCCTTTTTTTAGAAGTCTATGTAAAGGATTTAAAACAGTGGCCAAATTCTTTACAAACCGGTTGTAGTAATTAACAAGCCCTAGGAAAGATCGGAGTTCCTGTATGTTTTGAGGCCTTCGTGCATTTGTAATTGCTGTGATTTTATCCTTACTTTTGTGGATTCCAGTGGCGTCAATAACATGTCCTAAGTATTCAATTTTCTTTTGAAAAAATTTGCACTTGTCACGGTTCAACTTCAAATTTTGACTCCTTAAACGCTCAAACACTTGATTTAGTCTTTCTAGTAGTTCTTTTGATGACGTTCCTTGAATTATTATATCGTCGAAGAAGCACTGAACACCTTGAAGGTCTTGAAGGATTCCGTCCATCACCTTTTGCCAAACTCCTGGAGCAACTTTTACACCAAACATCAGTCTGTTAACTATGTATTGTCCTTTATGAGTGCTCAAAGTTTGAATTTCTGCACTCTCAGCATCCATTTCCAAGTGGAGATAAGCGTTACTTAAATCCAAAGTACAGAACAACTGTCCTCCATTCATTTGAGCAAAAATGTCTTCAATCCGAGGTATTGGATGATGTTCTTCTTTGATTTGTTTATTTACTGTAACCTTGTAATCAGCGCATATTCGTATGTTACCATTAGGCTTTACTACAGGTACAATTGGAGTACCCCAATCGGACTTGTCTGTTTTGGAAATGATTCCAGCTTCTTCCAGACGATTCAACTCGAGTTCTACTTTTTCAGTTAGTGCATATGGGACTGGACGAGCCTTCACAAAAATAGGTCTTGCCCCTTCAACAAGCTGTAAGTGTGCTTTTTTGTGAGGTATGAGTCCTACTCCTGGTTCAAATAATTCCTTGAATTCATCCAAAAGATCTTCGAGTGCAGTAGATGTAGTATTGTTACTAACTGTTTTAAGTTCTGCCCAATCCAGTTTGACCTCTCTAATCCATTCTCTTCCGAAAATGGCATCGAAATTTTGGTTCACTATGTAGAGTTTCCCAACAAACACCTGATCATTGTAAGTGCATTCTACAAAGACGACACCCCGGGGTTTGATTATTTCGCTTGAGTATGTCCTTAGTTCTATGTTTGTGTGGAAAATCTTTTTATTTATGTTGAGACTTTTGAAGGTAGAGTATGGTAGAATACTTATTGCTGCTCCAGTATCTAACTCCATCCGCACAGGTTTACCTTCAATAAGTATCTCAACCATAAACTTGTCATTACCGGCACTCTGGTTGTGTATCTTAAAAACCTCTTGTTTCTCTTCCTTATAATAGTCTATAGTATTGTCAGTTTCGGTACAATGAATTTCTGTTTGTTTTGTGCCTAAACATACGCTAGCAATATGCCCTTGTTTGTTGCATTTCTTACATATTTCTCCGATAAATTTACACTGATGTGCTCTGTGTCTAGGTGATCCACAACGATAGCATTTACCTTTGAGGCGTTCAAATGGAGACTTTAACTTTTTGTTCCAAGTAGGAGAAAAATGGGGTGGTTTTGTTCCTGTACCTGCTATCTTGTTGATTTTCTCATTTGAATGAATGTTTTCTTCTACTATATAGCTTTCGTTCTTTGCCAATTCCATAATGGAGGCAAGTTTCACTACATCTTGAAACGATGAAGCAGATCTTTCTTGTAATAATTTTGTTCTTATGTCTGAATTTCTAATACCTCTTATAAACTGCATGCGTAGTAATGTGTTTGCAATTGATTTCCCACAATTATTACAGTTGAAGTCACAGTCTGAAGATAACTTTTGAAGCTCAACGGAATATATTTTTACGGTTTCTTCAGATTCTTGCGTTCTTGTCATAAATTTGTGTTGTAAGGCCCAAGTACTAGGTTTAGGGTCAACATAATCAGCCAAAAGACTTACTAATTCAGCATATGTTTTATCCAAAGGACTTTCAGGAGCGCACAAATCATACAGTTTCTGATGTAAATGTGGCGTTAAGGCATGTAGCATTGTGTACACTTGATCCTTTGGTTCCAATTCTTGGCTATGTAGATATAGAAATATCTCAAATCGACGAATGAAGTTCTTGAATGATTCATTTTCCTGATATGGTGTGAAAATCATTGAGGAAGTAGTGGATCGACGTAGTGGAGTAGACAAATTTGATGTACTAGGCACAATATTTTGAGTGTTCACTTGTAGTTCTGCAAGCTGTCCCATACGTTTTTGTAACTCATCCATTACCTACCTTGTAATATTTGTCCTCCATTTCTACTCTGTAATCTATTTCTTTCTCAATTTCAGCTTCTTCAGTTTTCTCTTCTATTAATTGTTGTACAGAATTAAATCTTACCCAATAATCTTCAATTGTTGTTATCCTGGTTTTGATTACTTCTTTTGACATGTTTTGTAGGTTTGCTAGCCATCTTTCAGCCTTAGACAACTGACCCTTCACTACTACTCTAATCTTCTTTAAATCAGTCAAACTTTCAGTGTAACTTAGGTCACTCATATTAAAAAATAAATTGTAATAAATAGAATGTAAAAAAAAATTAAAAACTGGTTTTCCTCGTCGCCAAACTGTTACATATTAAATAATAGTTGTGTAAAATAAAATAGGTGTATTCTGAATTGAATCCTAAATAACAATGATTGTAAACAAAAACAAAGTTAACTTATTAAACATAACATATGGTATTTTGTTAAACGTACAGTATGTTAGAAAAGACACATCACAACCAAAGCAAAGAGGGTGAGGCCAGTTTGGATTAGGCCCCTACCTATTTTTTTTGCTATCAATGGTTGTTATTTAAAATCTTTTTAGTTCAAGGGGTCTACACTAACATTAGTTGTTCTTTTATCCACTGTCATTTTAAAATCTCCAACAGGTGCCTAGCTAATTTCCCATAGATTTGAGTGCTTATCAAGCTTTTGGGTAACCTAGGGTTTCATTCAACAGGGTCAATTTTAAAGGATGTTTATTGTATGCTTTGTTATTTCAATTTGTATATTTTATTTTATTATGTGATTGATAACTTTGTTTTATCCTCAGTCCTAACTTAAAGATTCTGCTTCGTGTGTTTTTATTTGTTAGATAGTGTAAATATCTATATTAATTTAAAATAATACATAGTGTAGTTTATAAAAATCAGGGGTAGTGGATTTATACAAAAGATAAGGGACCGTAACAAAAACATTGGTAAATCAGGACTAACTGTCAAGTATAATGGTATTGAAAAATTATACTCATCATACCACTTATCACAGCTATGTTTGACTTTTGATTAAATTAAAAGACAATACTCTAAAGCTACTCTTACAGGTCTTCAGCTGTTAAACAGGCAACATGTTGTTTATTTTAGAAGAGTTTTTGACGTTACCTATTGTATTTATTACTTAATCGTACAATAAATCTCTTGAATCTCTTGAATGTTAAGTTAGCTTCCCTGACTAGCCAAAAGGAAATCAGAACTAGTTACCTTTTTTGTAATACAGACTTACGCTACGTACTTAATTTATTAGTTTTATAAACGAATAAACTTTCTAATCAGCAAGTTATTTCCTCTGCTTATCTGTCCCCTTCTCCTGATTGTACTATTGAACTTAAGTTTAACAAAACAATTATTAATTGAATGAGTTGTGCATCGTGTCCTCCTCTGTACCTGACACACTGATTCCGAGCTTGTTGTCGGATCCTCCAGAATGTCATACCTTCTCCTGCACCTCATCGGCCACCTCATAGATAGTTATATAATTGTAATTCATAGATTCAAAACTGACCTGTTTGGTCACCATATACTTAAGAACCATCCTGATATTTTATATTATCTGCTTAAATTTATACCGTATAAAAAATCTACAACATTTAATCTTTTTGTTATAGAACAATCTGCATTGAATGCGAAAATTTTGACTTCATTGAAAAAGGAGACGAAGCGAGTGGATGCGTTCTGCAATGACTGTGGGGACGGATCTGTTGTCAACAATACAGTAGTTCACAAAGAAAATTGTCCGAAGCAAGAAGTTGTCAAGCTGTACATTTGTTGGTGCGGAAAGTTCTTGCCATCAGAAAAGGCTCTGGCCATCCACCGAGTAGTGTGTGGAAATCCTTCTCCTCCTAAGGTGAAGGTACAAGAATTGTTATGTATAAAGTGTGGAATGACTTTTAAAACTGAAAAAAGTCTCATTCTCCATAAAAACTTTTGTATGATCAGGCGAAATGAATTGGTTTGCTTATGTGGAAGACAGTGTAAAAGCAAGCAAGGTTTGATATACCATAAAAGATATTGTCTATTGTTCACTTTGAAAAATAAAGATAACCCAGTTGGTAACAGTGAACAGGAAGACGTCAAGTCAGTGGGTACAAATGAAAAAGAAGATGTAAAGTCAGTGGGCACGAATGAAAAAGAAGAATTGGTTTGCAAATGTGGAAGACAGTGTAAAAGCAAGCAAGGTTTGAGCTACCATAAAAGATTCTGTATATTGTTCAGTTTGAAAAAAAAAGATAACCCAGATGGTAACAGCGAAAAGGAAGACGTCATGTCAGTGGGCACAAATAGAAAAGAAGATGTAAAGTCAGTGAACATGATTAAAAAAGAAGACGTTAAGTCAGTAAGTACAATTGACAAGGAAGATGTTAAGTCAGTAAGTATAATTAAAATAGAAAAGCAGGAAGATACTGAATTAGTTGGTACCAACTTGAGTGATGAGAGGGACAATGATAATGATAGTAAAGTTAATGATGACAATTCAACAAACCCTTTCAGAAATAGTGAGGGAAATCATTGAAGGGAAATAAGTATTCTGCACATTTGTGTAACCAGTATGGAATCAATAAATTAAAGCGCCTTTTATGTTTGTCCCTGATAATTCCAGGTTATACCTTCATTTTACTAATATTGAGGGATTTGTTAGTTTACTAAACACAAAAACGCATTGCTTTTCGAAACTTAATCAGACTTTAGTTTTCTACCATCATCTAAATACTGTATTTATTCAATGTTGAGGTTCACAATAATTATATGTTACAACTGATTGACAATACAGATGCCATCATTTGCGGCCAAATTTAGGTTGTAAGGAACTTAAAATTTTGGTTGTTAAACAAACTTTAGGTTATTAAAACCACTTAACCTATGTTAATTGTTAAGTTAGGCCTACCTATGTTAATCCTTGTGATATACATTTGTTCATTAGATTTTATATCCTAATGTTTTTATACATTTTCTATCATTTATAAGTATATATATAGGCTATATATATTTTTTTCAAAAACAAACTTATCACACACTTTTTAAATAAGTTCTATATTTCGGCATAAACCTTCTTCAGGAACAAAAAAACAATAACAAATATAAGTGTTTACATTATAATAGAACCTATAATAACCTTATAGAATATCATTTATATCCTAATTGAAGTATTATTCAGTATTATTTTCTTTTTATTTAGAAGTATATATTTATTTTGGTTTTCACATTTATTTAGTTGTAAGTAGCCACACAATGAAGGCTAAATTGTATTGGTTTACTGAATAAAATATCATTTTTACGTTGGTTAGTGTGTTTCTTTTATCTTAGCCTTTTTGCAAATTTTAAAGGTGTTTTAAATTTTTTTCTCTTCCTTGAATTTTTTCATATGGTTATTTTATCACCTAACTCGTAGTACGGTAGCATTTTGTACTTGGACAAATATTGTTTTTCAATTGACCAACCAATTTAGTACCAGCAGGCCTAGCTTATACTTGCAACCAACAGCTGAAAATGAGGTTTACTGGTTTATAATTATTTTCAAATCAGAAACTGAGGCCAGTTTGGATTAGGCCCCTACCTATTTTTTTTGTTATCAATGGTTGTAATTTAAAATCTTTTTAGTTCAAGAGGTCTACACTAACAATAGTTGTTCTTTTATCCACTGTCATCTTAAAATCTTCAACCGGTGCCTAGCTAATTTCCCATAGATTTGAGTGCTTATCAAGCTTTTGGGTACCGGGTAACCTAGGGTTTCATTCAACAGGGTCATTAAAAATAATTTTTATTGTATGCTTTGTTATTTCAATTTGTATATTTTAATATATTATGTAATTGATCATTTTGTTTTATCCTCAGTCCTAACTTAAACATTCTGCTTTGTGTGTTTTTATTTGTTAGATAGTGTAAATATCTATATTAATTTAAAATAATACATAGTGTAGTTTGTCAAAATCAGGGGTAGTGGATTTATACAAAAGTTAAGGGACCGTAACGATAAGATTGGTAAATCAGGCCTAACTGTTATGTATAATGGTATTGAAAAATTAAGTTTATAAACTATCCTATCTCATCATACCACTTATCACAGCTATGTATGACTTTGATGAAATTAAAAGACATAATAATACTCAAAAGCAAATCATAGGTCTTCAGCTGTTAAACAGGAAATAAGTTATGTTAGCTTCCCTCACTAGCCAAAAGGACATTAGAACTAGTTTAGTTTCTTGTAATACAGACAATTTACACTACATACTTAATTTATTAGATTTATAAACGAATAAACTTTCTAATCAGCCAGTTATTTCCTCTGCTTACCTGTTCCCTCTCCTGATAGTACTATTGAACTTAAGTTTAACAATACAATATTATTATTAATTGAATGTGTTGTGCAAAGTGCCTTCCTGATCCAGAGTCCCTGACACCTCTGATTCCGAGCCCTTTATCGGATCCTCCGGGATGTCATACCTTCTCCTGCACCACATCGGCCTCCACTTAGGTAGTTATGTAATCGTAATTCATATATTCAAAACTGACCTGTTTGGTCACCACATACTTAAGAACCATCCTGACATTTTCTATTATCTGCTTAAAGTTGTATAAAAAAATCTACAACATTGATTTAATCTTTTTGTTATAGAACCATCTGCATTGAATGTGGAAAGCTTGACTTCATTGAAAAAGGAGAAGAAGCGAGTGGGTGCTTTCTGCAACGACTGTGGGGACGGATCAGTTGTCAACAATACAGTAGTTCACAAAGATAATTGTCCGAAGCAAGAAGTCGTCAAGCCGTTCAGTTGTAGGTGCGGAAAGATCTTGCCATCACAAAAGGCTCTGGTCATGCATCGAGTAGTGTGTGGAAATCCTTCTCCTCCTAAGGTGAAGGTACAAGAATTGATATGTAAAAAGTGTGGAAGGACTTTTAAAACTGAAAAAACTCTCATTCTCCATAATGACTTTTGCATGTCCATGCCAGATGAATTGGTTTGCAAATGTGGAAGACAGTGTAAAAACAAGCAAGGTTTGAGCTACCATAAAAGATTCTGTATATTTTTCAGTTTGAAAAATAAAGATAACCCAGATGGTAACAGTGAACAGGAAGACGTTAAGTCATTGGGCACAAATAAAAAAGAAGATGTAAAGTCAGTGAACATGATTAAAAAAGAGGACGTTATGTCACTAAGTACAATTGAAAAGGAAGAGGTTAAGTCAGTAAGTATAATTAAAAAAGAGAAGCAGGAAGATACAGAATTAGTTGGTGGAATCTTAAGTGATGTCAGGGACAGTGATGATGATAGTAAAGTTAATGATGACAATTCAACAAACCCTTCAGAAATAGTGAGGGAAATCACAGAAGACTTTAGTGATCGGTCTACACCAACAAATGAAGTTGAACAGGTGAATGCTGTCCTTGGGTTTCAAGATGACGAAAGTTCTGACGATGAAGAGGAATATTATCGACATATTCCTTCCAGCCCAGAGACCTCTTTGCCGCCAACTCCAATAACAGTCAACACAAAAAGTCCTGAAAAGCAATCAAATATTAAAAAATCTTCAACCTCTTCGATAAGAGCACTAAAGAAGACAGCTAAGAGGCCTCTTTTATCACCAACCGATGGTCCCAGCTTTAGGAAAGTACTAAATAAATTGTCTAAAAATAAAAAGAGAGAGGAAGATTTTCGTTGTAAGTGTGGAGCAGCTTTTAAAACTATGATTGCATTAAAAAAACATAAGATTGTTTTTTGCCCAACAAGCCTGTTAAAGTGCAAATGGTGTCCTTTCCAAACCAGGAAGAAATTATCTATGAGAGACCACGTTTTGAAAAAGCATTGTGACGCTGTGAAGATGTTTCTAAACGATAGCACATCAGAGTAGAACAAGACATGTGTAAGAATAGGAAACAATTATCAACGTGGACATATTCTTTGTTCTAGATGTTTTTGTATGCAAAGGTAAACAGGCGATTGTCAATTGTAAACAGGCGTATCAAATAACCTATTTTGTATTGGGAAAGGAAAGAGTCTTTTAAAACCCTTTAACACTCTAAAAACTTTCCGGTTGTCTTTTTAAATTTACTAATCCTGATGATATTCAATTTAATATTACTAACTAATAAATAGAAGTCCGAATGAGTTCATTGATTTAAGTAATCGCCCAAACATTTTTTTCTGTCTCAAATTTGTTGTGTCATGTGATGAAATAAGTTTTTAATACTAACACTTTCAATTGTTTAACTGAAAACTGTTCTAGGGGTTTAGTCTACTATGTTTTTGTATATTATTAAGAATGTATAATGAAGCAGGTAGTTTTTGGAAAGTTAATTTGCTAATTTATGATAAAGTAACTTCTTTAGTATGTTTGTTCAAAAAAACCTTTATTTTCCATTATGTAAAGTTTACACAAATTTAACATGTAAATATTATTTAATTTTGTCTAACTTACATGAACTAATTGTTTGTTACCAGGTATTTTTTTACAGATTGTCTATTAAGGGTAACAAAAGTTGCTCATGTGGGTTTCCCATCTAACCTTAAATATCAGCTTTAACTGTATACAAATTGTACAGTTACGGTTTATGATTTTTCTCTATGTTTAGGATTGATGGATTTTTATATTTTTTTGTGGCATTATACTTTAAGTCTTTAGTTATACTAAAAAATTCAGATTGTTGCAACACAAAACTAGTTATTTGTGTTATGATTTTTTAAGTGAGCTTTTAAGTGAATTTCATTCACATGCAATTTTTTTGTATTAATTTTTCCTTCACCATTTTAGTTAAATAAAATATAAGTGTATAAAACAACTGTTAATAGGTCTTAGGTATAAATTGCCATAATATGTACATTGTACAGTGAATAAATATAAAATTGAGTTCAATACGTCTCTTACTCATTCCAATTCATTAAGTTACCCCGTTTATTTCCAATCCATGAAAGCTATGAAATAATTATAACGTACTTGTTTCATATTTACAGTAGTTAGTTAAGGTTCTCAAGAATAAGTCATACTTCATCCTGAAACTCTTAAAGAGTAGGATTATGGCTTTGTGTTTAGATTATTAGCTGTTTAAATTACCAATATGAGAATTCTAATTTTTTACGTTACTCTCAAAGTCAACCACAATTTTTTGCATTTGTTAAAGACATTCAGTTTTGCCATTGTATGAGAAAATCAAGGAGAATTAATTTTGCCTTTATCAAGAACACAAAAACTATTTTGTCATAAAACCAGTTTTTCGTTTACATACACGCTGTAAGGGTAGGCCTTGTTCAAAAGTGTCAAGAGGCTTTCCATAAAGGTGCAGCTTTCAATGAATCCGACCTGGTTTTTCTTTGCTGTGTATTTTAGATGGATCTCTCTCACCAAACTTTGCCAAAGACAGGCAAACCTCTTATGAGTTGCACCCTAGACCTGAATGAGCTGGGATTCTAACACTCAATCTAAGGTTCTGTCTCGCTGGGGAGACAATGTATTACTGCTTTTTGGAGGATCAGACACATATTTCTATTGCACCAACATTACCAGTAAACCAAAAACCAGAGTGTTACTGATTCAAAGCAGAACTCATGCACAGTTTACAGCCATTTTGATTGACTTCATTCATAAATCGTAAGCGACGGCATAACATTCATGATGGAAAGTAGCCTATAATATTTGTTTATACTAAAGCTCTTGCCTGGGATTGTTTTTTACATTACTTAAGACCAGGCCTAAGAGGTTTTAGCTTTATCACTTCTATTCATTAGTGATTGGTGGGATTTGAACACGGGACCTTGGAGACCAAAGTCACGAGCTCTACCACTAGTCCAGCATTATCCATAGACTTTAGAGCGTGAATATTTAATTGTCCAGTACCACAGTCATGTTAAATCCACTCTAGGTTCTAAATAGCTGGAAAATTCTTCAACAAACTGTACCGGTACTATGAATTTAATATTGAAAAGTTTTTCAGCCATTGTTGATTTTGAGTTAGGGCCATGAGATCATAACATTCTACAGTAGTTTATTGTTTGTCACCACAACTAAAACTTCAAAACCAAAATTTCAACTTAAGAAAATATATAACTTAACAGTTCAAAATAGTCTCGTAAGGTTTGCCAAACAAATATATCCAGTCAAGATTATTAAGCAGCATAAACTAACTAACTGTAAAATCAAGCATTGCCATATTTGATCTATCTTGATGCAAAATAAATTTTAAAAAAATCATCCCCAAAGGAATTCTTCACTAAAAAGACAGACTTGTTATTCTTAAATTTGGGTGGATGTGACTTTGGAACTTGAAGATGTTTCACTCTTTTGGTTAAAATATAGCTTCTTACTTTATTTCACATAGCTTGTTTTGTCTACTTGTGCACTTCTCAGTAACTGATAATTTGAGAAATGGAAGCTCAAACCTTACCCAACATGATAGCCTGTTTTTTTCAAATAATGTTATTGTTAACTTACTGTTTCCTAGCCAATACAATTCAAGCTGTGATAGATTAAACACAGCCTTTAGTTACTATAACATTCACTGAGCAAACATGTCCCAGCTAGAATAGAGGTTCAATGTCTTCAAACATCTTTAGGAGGGTTCTGATACATTATTAAGATGGACTACCTTCAATATTGAATGAAAATGTGAGAACCGTATCTTATTGATACTCAAAAGGAAAAACAAGTACGGTAATATTAAATAATAAAAAATCCTTGATGAAGTCTCATCTTACCTGATTTCTGTCAAGAACAACATATATGAAAATTCTAGGTATTAACGTTTTTAAGGGACATCTAGAACTGAAAAAAACACACAATTGAAGTATTTTTATCTTGAAAAGGACATATGAAAAATTAATATACACTAAATCTATTATGTAACGTCATAGATAAAACATACTCCCTTAGTAGATTTCCCATCCTTATGGAACAGCTGAAGCCAATTTTACTGCTCTGTCCCGTGTACTGTAGAGTCGTGTTTTGTTTACAATTTGTTTCTTGCTATTTTAGTAATTTAAAACCTCGTTTAACCAAATAAAGCCATCTAATCATAAACAATAACTTGTCCACTAGCTATATAACCAAACTGTGAGGCATAAATCATGAGAAAATAACGCAAAAATATATAAACAAATTGTAACCAAAACACGACTACAGTACACCGGACAGAACTAACAATAAAATCAGCTTCAGCTGTTCCATAAGGATGGGAAATCTAGGAGTATGTTTTATCTATGGTAACGTTTACTTTTTTCTACTACAAGCAATACTTTTTGTTCTAAGATTCAAGCAATATTTTTTGGGGCTGATGCAGGTTTTGCGGAAAGAAATAGTAAATAAATATGCACTGAGTGATTTTTGAAATAAGGTCCGTTTTTGCCTAGAGCTCCGTAGTTTGCAAGTACGCCGCAAAAAGGCTCCTTGCCACCTTCTGGCATTGTTTGTGAACAGAATAACATCTGTCTGATGTACGCTTTGCTGTATGATCTCAAAAGGTTTAAATGGTTGAATCTCCCGTTGTGTCAAGATAAGGATTACAAGAAACATATCCAATGTCGACATTCATCGCCAGATGATTTAAGATTATGCCCTTAGGGCAATAATAGAGGCGATGTGCGTAAGTGGGCTATGGAGTGTAAAAATGGCCTTGAAAATGTTTATTTTGAAAGGAATTGTGTTTTTGGTTGGTACCCGAACTTAGAAGACCACAAAAGATGAAGGTTTCCACAGCCATTTTTACGCTCCATAACCCATTTCTGCACTTAACCCTATGTCATTGCACTAGGGCCATAACCTTCAATCCTCTGGTGTAAAATGTTGGCATCGGATATGTTTCTTGAGGTGAAAAAAACCTATCACTGACCTTATCTCACATAGGGAGAGATTTAAGAGTAAACAATTGTCTAAACAGACGGCAAAGCGTAGGCCTACATAACAGCTACAGAGTTAGAAAATGGTTTCATTCTGTTTAAATATGATGCCGGTGATCCGGTGAGGGGCCTTGTTGCGGCGTACACACAAGCTAAAAAGTTATGACACAAAAACGACCTTTACTTTATAAACGATTTTCGTACAAATGTGAAATGAATGTACATATATATATAATAGGTTACGTACCTTGTTCCGTCTTCAGTCTTAACTTAGTCAATGGATGACTAGTTTCGGGAACAAAGTCCCATTATCAAATCCTTATTTAAAACATCATATTGAATATGGTCAAATATCCGACGTAAGTCTTCATCAATCTATACATGCAGGTTGACGACACATAAAATTTACACGTTTTACAAAAATAAAAGTTACAAATACATTTACGATAGGCCGGCCACATTGAATACAGGACAAACCGACGCAGGTTACACGACGGACACGACAGAACTATAGTTCGTCGGTTTGTCCCGTATTCAATGTGGCCGGCCTATCGTAAATGTATATGTAACTTTTATTTTTGTAAAATGTGTAAATTTTATGTGTCGTCAACCAGCATGTATACATTGATGAAGACTTACATCGGATATTTGACCATATTCAATATGATGTTTTTAAATAAGGATTTGATAATGGGACTTTGTTCCCGAAACTAGTCATCCATTGACTAAGTTAAGACTGAAGACGGAACAAGGTACGTAACCTATTATATATTCTATTATCAGTCTTGGTGGCAAAGATGTTTAAATGTACATATATATACAAAGAAGAAAAACTGCATCTAGTTTTCTCCCAGAGATTAACATGTGCTCATTGGTAAGTGTCAAACATCAATTACTATTCAAAATGAGCAAACAAGTATGTGTGTTTGTAACCTCCTCAGAATACATGTGTTACAGGAAAACAAATCTGATAAACAATATATTTCAGGATACATTTCTGCGTATTCAAGTTCCAGCCAGGTTCAAAACACAGTTACTAAACTTCCTCAGAGTCAAGAAGACTGGGAAGTCTACATGAAGAAGAGAGAAGAAACACTGCGAAGGAAAAGAGAGGCGGAGAAAAGAAGACAACAAAGAATAAAGCAGAATGCAGAGTGGCTTGCATTAGAAAAGTATAAAAAACATCTCCGATATTTGAAATACAAAGAGAGGACATTAAGTTTAAAATATTAAAATTACTTTTACTTTATGTTAATATTTTTCTATTGTCTTTCACTAGGAACTGAAATAAGAAGAATTTACCCTAATCTTAAAAAATCTATTTTATAAGTGTATTTAAAGGTGTGTATAAAGAATATTTATTTGTATCAAAACATTCCATAGTAATCAGTTAGGGTTTCTTTCTTCATGTCTCAAAACTTTTATTTGATAATATAAAAATCTAGTATTGTGTGTAAATTTTTTATTGCATTCCCCACCATGTCATGTCAAACATAATAAAAAAAATCAAGGTTTTAGATTAGGCAGAATTTTCATACTTTTTTCCATTTCTATTTTTGCTTTACAATAATGAAAATTAGAAAATTGACATTATTTATGTATAACAGTATGGCTATGTATAACATTAAAGTTAATCTTTAAATTTTAAAATAAGTAGGCTAACCATTTTATTCTTTATGTTTCAATCTTGTTGGTTGTCTTTGTCTCTAAGTCTTAACCATGTAGTTTCTACATTTTGTGGCATGATAATAGATTTTAGATCGTATAAACACACAAAATTACAACATACAATGTATTTCTTAGCCAGTAATTTTGTAAGAGGGATCACAATTCTTGACAAACTGTACTTTTACTGACGTTGGCTGCCAAATAAATAATAGGCCGTTAGATTTCTTAAAACTACATTAACAAGCATGTGTTTTCTTAACTGCCGATCATACAGAATTTGCATCAAGCATACTTTAAACAAATCGATGAATTTCAGGTTATCTAGGACTCGACGAGCTCTATTGGAATTATTTTCAAGGCCAGAA